TCAGGCTCCTGTGCACTTCCTGGTCATTCCCAAGAAGCCCATTCCTCGGATTAGCCAGGCTGAAGAAGACGACCAGCAGGTGGGAAGAACAGGGCCAGGGTTTGACTGGGAGGAGCCCTGGACCCAACTAGAGGTCTTGCTTCCTATAAATAAAACCACCTATGTCCCTCCACTCTCCCTATAGCTTCTAGGACACCTACTCCTTGTGGCCAAGAAGATAGCAAAGGCTGAGGGCCTGGGAGATGGATACCGACTTGGTGAGTGACTTTTGGCCCTTGGTTCCTCACCTATGAATTCTCATTCCTACCCCTCAGTATGATCTTCATTCTTTGACCTCTGCCATGATCCTGACTCCTAACCCCAAGGTCAATTTCAGTGATCAACGATGGGAAGCTGGGTGCACAATCTGTGTATCACCTGCATATTCATGTACTTGGGGGCCGGCAGCTCCAGTGGCCTCCAGGTTGAACCTGCCAACTGACCAAAGGACCCGAGACCCTGGATGCTTGGATGGAAAGGGAAAAAGGGACCTTGTGATGCTAATAAAACTATTCTCCCTTAATTATGCTTTCCTGTCTTAAATATATAAAGTTTAATACCACAAAGGGGAAAGAAAACTGATTCATGGCTATGATGCCCTTTGACTGGTCTGAGCAGAAGACACTGAGAAGGTCCATAAAGGTTGCCTGCAGATATGTGAGTCTTCTTGACAAGTGGTCCACCCTAGGTCAAACTTCTAGAAAAGTAACAGTAGGAATGAGCCTAAACGTGTAGGAAGAAACCGAAAGCCAGATTTAAGACTTGCTCAATCCTGGCCCTTCTTCAGAGGCCAAACCACATTCTAAAGGGGCTTAGGAGGAGGGTGGTCAATATGAGGGGCTTTTATTAGAGAAGAAGTAATCACACCCAAACAAAAGCGGCTGCCTTTTCACTATTCCATGCCTCACCATTTTGCTCAAGCTGGTTTGTGTATTTTCATCCTTAACATTTGTTAAAGACCCCACTCACTTTTGAGAATGAACTAAGCAAACTAAGGGGAAGCTACTGTTGCCCCTGCAAACACCAAGTAGGCTGTTACCTAATGCCACAGCCCTGTGCGTGTCTCCAACATATCTCCATAAAGCATCACCTTAGAAAACCGCAAAGACTGCTGTGGCGAGGAGGGTGAGGTCTTAGGCCGGCGGAACCCTAAAAGCCCGGCTGAGGCGGAATGCTGTTGGGACCGGAAAGACGACCTCCTCGACAGCACCGGGCTGAAGACTTCCGCCCCGCTGAGGACTTGCCTCCACCCGCACCTCCAAGTCCACCCAGCTCTACTTCTGCGCAGGCTCCAGGAGTTGTTTGCTGTCTCTATGGCAACCTGGTAGCTGGCGTCCGAAGATGGAGACCAACGAGTCTACGGAGGAATCGCAGTCGCGGTGAGAGTCGCAGCTCTGGCTGCAGGCGTAAGGAGACAAGGAAGGTCAGCGGACTTCCTTTGCTGCTCTTTTGTCAGCCTTGTCATGTTTGCTTTCTTTCAGAGCTTTAGACATACAGCCCAGCTCCGAAGGACTGGTGTCCACTTTGGAACCGTTACCTTCTTCAGATGACAGTCCTAAGTCGGCCCTGGCAGCCGCAACCGCAGCAGCTGCAGCGGCTGCATCAGCTGCCGAAGCTACTGCAGCCATCACCACCGCCAAAGCAGCTGCATTATCTACAAAGACCCCAGCGCTCTATTCTGAGTTCATGGAGCCATCCTCTGACCCTAGCCTTCTTGGGGAGCTGGGTGCGGGACCCAGCTTTACCCACAATATAGCCCATGGGAGTCTTGGCTTTGAGCCCGTCCATGTTTCCTGTATTGCTCAGGACCCTTGTACTACAACTGACTATAATTCTAACCCTGGCCTTGTTCCAGGCTCTAGCTCTGACCCTGTTCTTGGCTCCAGCTCAGGTGCTGGCCATGGCTCTGGCTCTCGCTCTGGCTCTGGTCCTGGCTGTGGCTCTGTCCCTGGCTCTGGCTCTGGCTCTGGTCTTGGCTTTGGCTCTGTCCCTGGCTCTGGTCCTGGTCCTGGTCCTGGCTCTGGCTCTCCTGCTGGCTCTGGCTCTCATCCTGGTCCTACATCTGGACCTGCTCCAGGCACTGGCCCTGACTCTGAGCTCAGCCCCTGCACTCCTTCAGCGTTCAGAAACCTGATGACAGATCTGGTCCCTAGTGATACCTCCTGGAGTCAGCAATGCCCCTGGAAGCCCCAGAAACAACCATCTTGGGAATTTTTGCAAGTCTTAGAACCAGGTGCCCGAGGACTATGGAAACCCCCAGATGTTAAAGGGAAGCCTACGGATCTCTATGAAACATTGCCACGGGGCCAGTGCCTCCTCTACAATTGGGAGGAAGAGGTATTAAAGTTTTGGCCTGCTCACTTTTCTTGAAGGCTGCCCTCAGTTTCTTAAGGGAGGCAGTGGTTTATATGAGGGTGGGTACCAGAAAGGATATTATAGTCATTCAACTTGAGATCCACAGAGAGCCGCCAACCACCTGGATCAAGTCCCAAGCATGCAGGATGGCTCTGAGAGTTTTTTCTTCCGACATGGACACCGGGGACTGCTGACCATGCAACTAAAGTCACCCATGCCCTCCAGTACCACCCAGAAAGACTCATACCAGCCCCCAGAAAACATCTACTGGCCACTTCGAGGTATGAAACATGAGAGAGAGTAGGCCAGAATGAGTCCATTAGTCAGAGAGAAAAAGAGGAGGGAATTTCTGGTGGGGCTATGGATTGTCCGATGGATATAAGGGCAGAACCTCAAGGTTTTTCTTCCTTAAGTTAGTTTCTTCTGGGCCTGCTTTTTAACCAGACCCCACCCAATGCCCCCTCGCAGGGAAGCGTGAAGCCATGCTGGAGATGCTCCTGCACCATCAGATCTGGTGAGAGATTGGGTAAAGGGGAAGAGGGAGGGGGGAGAAAAATTGGATGAGGATGGCCTTGACACCCCTTAGGGATACACAGTAAAGAGGTGCAGGCAGAACAGGAACCCACAAGGAAGCTCTTTGAGGTTGAATCTGTGACACACCATGACTATCGAATGCAGCTGGCGAAAGCAGGGCCTTCTGCCCCAACAAAGGTGAGAACCACCTCCCCCACACCTCCCACCACTTGCATAGCTGGGCTCTGACCAGCTGTGGCCAAGTACCAGGCCCAGAGGTTGAGAGAGAGGGGTGAAGGCCAGGAGTTACTCAGTACTCTCCCTCACAGCCTCACAACTACCGCCAGGAGCAGCCTGAGACCTTCTGGATCCAGAGGGCATCACAGCTACCGGTGTGTGAGGGTGACTGGGTACTGGGGGCAGAGTGGGTCAGGAAAGGTAGGGCAGAGTTGCTTTGTTCTGGCTTGGGGACAGCGGGATCTGTCCTCATCCTGGCACTCCTCCAGGGTGTCAGTAACATCAGGACATTGGACACACCGTTCCGGAAGAACTGCAGCTTCTCAACACCAGTGCCCTTGTCTCTGGGGCAACCTTTGCCCTATGAACCTGAGAACTACCCCCACCAATTGGGAGAAATATCTTCCCTTGCCTGTCAGGGAGGAAGGCTGGTTGGTGGAGTGGGGAGAACGACTCCTGTCTGAGGGGTGAGGAGGGAAGTGGGATATGGAATATAAATCTATTTCTGTCTGCACTAGAGAGGTCGGGAGGAAGTTAATTCTCACTGTACTTGAAGAGGCTTTACATAAAGCATTCTCTCTGATCCCAAGACTGCTAATTTAGTCAATCTGTGAGTCACTGTGTGCATACCCCGTAATCTTTCCTTGGGATTGCCCCATCCCACACTATGACATCAGAAATTTTTTATTGTTGTTTTATATTTGACCAAAATATTCTGGTTTAGATACAGATATTTACAGAAAGTAGGGAGGAAGGGGACCAAGCCAGAAAGGGAAAGGTATATGTACAGGGCCGAGCTGCAGAGGGCTACAAGTTTCATATAAGGTAGGGTTTTTGTGCCTGTTTTCCATTGCATATGAAAATGTCCATTTCTGGTGTGTGGAGACATGGTGGCCACTGCCCACCCAGGTACCAGCAGCAGGAGATTGTCTGACTTGGGAAGAATGGGGGTTTACAGGAGTCCAGGAGGTCCTTTCCGCTCTCCTAAGAGCCAGTATGTTCGCATCTTTCCTTTTCCCTGGAAGTGGGAGAGTGGACATGATTCAGATGCTTCAATGTTAGTCCCTTTAAATCCCTCTCTTTCCCCATGATTCCCATAATCACTTTCACCCTCCCTTTCCATGCCCATCCCTGTGGCATGCCATCACCTTCATTTCCACATCCCCCCGAAGCTCTAGCTGGAAGCATCCTAGCTCATCTAGGGCATCCTTGGTGGTAGAGGAGACATGGATCTTCAGCGCTGGGGTGAGTAGGATGGGGAGGAGAGTGGAAAGAGGAATTGAAGAAAAGGCAATCGAAGAATTGGTGATACTGTATAGCACCGTACTCAACCAACCATCCCTGGGAAGCTCTCAGACATCCCAATGTATATCTACTAGAACCAAAATACACCCAAGGATGTGACAGTAAGGAACTGTGGTCTCTCAGATTAAGAGATTGGAGGAACTATGAAAAGAAGAAAAGGGCAAGATAAATTGAGGCTAACAGTGGGGTTGAGGGCTAACATCTTACCTTGACCATTAGACTCCATTCGAGAAGCAGTATTCACTGTGTCTCCAAAAAGACAATAACGGGGCATCTTCAGGCCAACGACCCCAGCGCAGACTGGCCCTATGAGGAGAAACAGGTTGGGAGAGCCTGGAAAAGGTGGAGACTAGGGCTGGAGTGAGAGTCAGCCTTACCAGTATGTACCCCTATGCGTAGCCTCAGCTGGTCATGGGGTCGGTGGCGGATGCGGAAGGAAGAAACTGCATCTAGTAATGCTAGGGCCATACGAGCAATTTCTGGTGCATGGCGTTGACCATTTCGGCCTGGGAGGCCAGATACCACCATGTAAGCATCCCCAATCGTCTCCACCTGATTGAGAGGGGGATTAAAAGGTCATCACCTCTATTTGTATCCATGGGGATGGAGAAGAGTAGAGGGAGACAAGCTGGACACCATCATGAATCATCCTGACATCCTGGGGGCCAGAATATTGACTAGAAAATAAGTGTCCTGGTCCTGAGAGTCTAGGGGAGAGGAGATGTCAAGGGAATCTTTAAGTCCTCTTTCTCCATCCAGCCCCCGGTGAACACTCAGTAAACGTTTGCTGAATGAATGAACACCCTGTCTGCAGCAGAACATGGACAAATAGGCTCTGCCATCAGTAAATGAGAAGCAAGAGAACAGGCTAAACTCAAGAGGACAGAGGCTGGTGAGGAGGTAAAGCAGGCCCAATGAAATGGATCAGAGAGCCCAAACTGTCAGAGAGGAGGAAAGCAGGTATTTGATTCTGGTAATTGTACCAAAGCTATATAAGAGAATGAATGCCATTGTTTTTAAGAAATACACAGTGAAGTTTTTAGGGAATACACACTAAGTATTTAGGAATAAAGTAGTTGTATGTCTGAAACTTACTTTCAAATGGTTCAGAAAATAGATTTTTAAAAATAAAGCAAATGAGGGAAATATAAATAATTGATGAATCTGGGTAAAGGGTTTCTGGGAGTTCTTTGTCACAGAAACAACAGAAATGGTAGAGTAAGTTGAAAGGGAAGGGACAGGAATGGGTATTTATTATCTGCCACATGCCAAACAATGTTAGGCACCTTCCATACAACATATCTATTATTCCTGTCTTACAGATAAAACAACTGAGTCGCAGGGAGATCTGTTACTTACCTAAGGCCACAGTTAGCAACAAGCCAATATTCAAATCCAGATGGTTTTTACTCCCAAGGACAATAAATCCAACTCAATGAACCAAAGGCTTTACTTTTTAAAATATATTTTCCCTCACCCTACTAAATCAGTCTGTCCCCACGTCCTGTATGATTCTTCCATGTTTGGAGAAGACTGGAGAGAAATGCTGGATAGCCTGTTTATACCCCAGGAGGATAGGAGCTAAATCTCATGATGGTTCTAATTAGGGAAGCCAAAGGATTCATAAGAAATTCAACTGGAGTGTACAATTATGGTGCTGGAGCTACATCTGTCTACAAAGTACACTCCAGCACAAGAATGCTGGGGACCCTGGAGGGGAAACTGATCATGGAGTGGGTAAGGTATTTGGGGTTCAGGGAGACAGGGTTTCAAAGGGGTCTCTATTGAAGGGCCTTCTATTGAAGGGCAGCCCCAGCTCTCACCTTGTAGACGTCAAAGTTGTCAATTATGGCATCAAAGCAGGTATACAGGTCATTAAGAAGTGTCACTACCTAAGAAGGATGGAAAAGTAGAGGCCCTAAGACTTGAGCCCAACTCTCTAGGAATTCTTAACCCATGAGCCATCACAAGATGTGGGAACTCTAGAACAAACTCATCTTCCCTATTATCAATGAGGCTCCCCCAGGTCCCTACCCACCCCACCTCACCCCGACACCTCTCACCCATGGCCCTCACCTGCATGGGGGTGCTCTCTGCTGACAATGCTGTGAAGCCAACGATGTCACTGAAGTAGATGGTAACACTGTCAAAGGCCTCAGCCTGTACAGTCTCTCCCCGTTTTAACTGCTCTGCCACTGAACTAGGAAGCAAGGGTGCTGTGTGAGCCAAACTTAGCCAAGAGAGTAGGAGAGGGAGAGAGAGGGAAGGGGTTTGTGGCTGCAGCAGAGATGAGCTGTAAGAAGAAAGCTGGGCTTTGCAGGTAGGAGGGAAGAAAGTGGCTGGGGAGACATTACAGTCAAATGCAAGGTAAGGTGCACAAGTGGTGGGGGGTTTTGAGGGGACCCCTGTGCATGGGAGCCGTCTCAAGTTGGGACTGTTTTATATACACTTGCCGAAGCAAGGGCATGGTAGAGCAGTGTCTTAAGAAGACGGGATGGGAAGCCAGTAAGAAGGCGGCACAGCTGATGTGAAGACAGAATGACAGCAAATACTCTATAGCTGGGGGGGCTCCCATGGCCAGCAGGGTTCTGAGGGTTGGGAGGCAAGTTCTCAGGCACCTGATGAGGCAGAACCCAACAGAGAAGGATCCCAAAGGAAAATTCAGAAAGAAGGACAAAGTCTCACTGGGGTAGAATTTGGTAGAGCAGAGCCTCAGCCTTGCGTTTTTCCTCCAGATAGGCCTGTGTGCGTTCCTCCACCAGCTTCTCCAGGTTATTGGCATACTGTTCCATGCGCAGCAGGAGGTTGTCCAGTATGCTGGTGCCACCCTCCCTGGGGGGAGGCCAGGATATGGCACTTGCTGTAAGATTCTGAAGACTCCCAGGACTTCCTATCCAACCCACCCTCGGTTCCCACCTGCCCCACTTCATGCGCTAGGACTAACGAGGCTTCTATCCCTGGGAAGCCCCTGCCCCATAATGCTCTCTCACTTGTTAAAGCGTCGAATGAATCCCTTAATCTGTCCAAAGTCTGGCCGCTCAGCTGGGTCCTGAGCCCAACATCGCTCCATCAGCAAAACTAGCTCTTCATTTAGTTGGGTCCGGTCAATGCTTGGCCGGAAATATGGCCGCTGACCATTTCGTACCTTCTGGACAATCTCTGAGGATGATCAAAGGTTTGGATGAAGAACAGAGTCCCCCAGGAAGAAGCTGTGGGTAGTGGATTGACTCTTACCTTTGGGGCCGAGGTCCAGGCCCTCCAAGTAGAAAGGACCACTGCGAAGTGCTATCTCTTGCAGGATGATCCCAAAGCTATAGATGTCAGCCTTCTGCATGCCTGTGGTTGGCAAGGGGTTCCCATTGAGCAGTTCTGGGGCAGTCCATAGCTTCTCTGAAAAAAGGAAACAGGCTGGCCAGGTCCCCCAAAATGGGGTACCCCCCCAAGCCCACCTGGGCTCATCCCTATATTACTGTCGCTCCACCTCCCTCTCCCACCCTCCCTAGGTAGAAGGAGGAGCAATATAAAAAGTGGGTTGTGGGGGTGGGCCTCACTGGCATAGAGTGCGTGGCTGTCATCAGGTTCTGCAGTTGATCGGAAGCTGGCCAAGCCATAGTCTGTGATTTTGAGCACAAAACGACTATCCACCACACAGTTGGAGGACTTGAGACTCCCATGCGATGAAATAATGCTGTTGTGGAGAAAGGCCATGCCCTGCAGGGTACAGATCAAGTCATGGGACTGGATCATATCTGGCTTAGAATGCCCTCTCTCCATAAGATGGGCACTGGCTAGCTGTCTACAGATCCTGGGTACGCAAAAATAATAAGCTGATTTTGGAAGGCATCCTTTACAGTTTCTAACCAAGGAAGCAGGCAGAACAGAAGAGTCATACCTTCCTGCTATCATAAGCAGCACACAGGGACCCAAACACCAGGGACAGGGAAGATGCTTAAAAAGAGGGATAAGTGGAGTTACCAATGACTACCCTGGAAAGGGCAGTCAATCTTTTGATTAGTGAAGGGAACAGAACTTGTGTGAACACTAAAATGATATGACACCCATGGTGGCCTCAGATACCTGGCTACTAATTACGAAGACATGGCTTGAGACCCATGTGTCAAGAGTAGCTGGATACAACAAGGAAGAGCAGTTGTAAACTTTAATGCATAACCATGTGTAGGTGGGCAAGTCTGGGTAGAAGAAGAATAAGATCTACTAGAGGGAATGCTGGATCAGAGAGAAAGTGCAGAAAATCGTAAATCAGAAAAACATGGAAAATGGACAAAATCTGCTAAGCCAGTGCAGAAGCCTAAAATTGCTGGCCCCGTGAGGCCAGAGACCGAAGAACCTTTGCCTCCAAGGGGCTGAATGACGGTCTTAAAGCCTGGGCTTGGTGGCTCATGCCTGTAATCCCAACACTTTGGGAGGCCAAGGCGGGCAGATTGTTTGAGCCCAGCAGTTCAAGACCAGCTTGGGCAACATGGTGAAACCCCATCTCTACCAAAAATACAAAGATGAGCTGGACATGGCAGCACATACTGTGGTCCCAGCTACTTAGGAGGCTGAGGTGGGAGAATCACCTGAGCCCAGGAGGTCAAGGCTGCAGTGAGCAGGGATCTAGCCATTGCACTCCAGCCTGGGTGACAGAGTAAGACCCTGTCATAGAAAAAAAAAAAAAGGTCTTAATGATGCTCCCCAAAAATGAAACCCTAGGAGCCACCCAAGTCAGTTCAAGTGAGACAGAAAGAGGATATGTGGTTCAATATGCTAACAAAAAACATTTCTGTCTAAATGTTTAGCTCTAGACTTAATTAATAACTCTAGTCTCTGTGAACTCTTTTTATTTCTTTTGGTGTCACAAAACTTTTGGGAATCTCCGAAGCTGTGAATTTACTTGTGTGGAAACTGTGCAAAAGATGCCTTCCAAAATCACAGGATTAGGCTTCTGGCTTTGTTGTAAATAACTTTTCCACCAAATCACTGTTTTCTCAAGAGTCGTGTTTTTCTTATATCTATCATCACACCTCTAGTGGAGCGTGACATTGGCTTTACCTAATATTTTTATCTCTCATTTGATAGCAAATTTTCACACACAAAGATATACCTTTAAATAACGTCATGAGAATTTAGCAGAAAGCTAAAGCTAGTTTTATATACAGTGTAGGGTGACCCACTGGGATGCTCACTGGCTATAGACTTATTTCAGAAAATCTATCCAACTCATGCAAGATTCGGTTTTATGCTCCACAAATCCATGGGCCTCTGAGTCATCTGAAAATAGTTGAAACCTAGTAGAACTAAAGAGTACCAAAGGTTTTTAGTACATTCTTCCTTGGTTTCTCTTAGTTCTACTAGTAAATGTTCCTTTTTTAAATTTCACTTTTCTGAACAAAAGGGCAGACATGCCAGATATTGGTCAGAGATTAAAATAATGAAAGGAAAAGCAGGAGATAAATACGCTCAGAGACCCCCCTCATGAGCTCTTGGAGGTAAAAGAGATGATGGAAAGAGACCTGAGATACCTAAGACAGAAAAACAGAAACTCTTTACAGGCACAAGACTTGCTGTGGCAGGTAAAACTCATTCCCCCAGTTATATGCCCCAGACCCCTTGTTTACCCATTATTACCCAACCATGTGAATAAGGGGAGATGAGAGAACAGGACTTTCAGAGGACTAGAAGGAGAAGAACCATAATCAAAGAATGATGGAAGTGATTTAAAGTGGATGAACTTTTAAGGAGTGGAGAAGACTCACCTTAACAAGGTCATTAATGAGTGAATAACGAAACATCCAGTCCAAGTTGATGCTGTCATTTTCTAGAATATCCTGGTAAGTGACATGGAACAGATTGTCTGTCCTAGTCCCACTAGCTATCACCCGGCATAGAGTCAGTATAACTTTGGGTCTATCCTCCCCACCTCTGCCATAATCTCCTACACCTATTCCTCACCTGTAAACTCCCACGAGGACAGTATTCAGTGACAATGCAAATGTTGGGAGGGTCTATGCAGGCGCCAATGAAGCGAGTGAGATGATTGAACTGAACATCTCTCATCTGGCAGAAAAAAAAAAAAAAAACAATGGGAAGGATAATAAATTCAAAGAGTTAAAAATTAGACACAGAAATCTATCACTACATAAAAGGACCTTTCTCTTAGTTGTATCTACAATTTAAAAATCATAAATAAACCCGTTGCCCATCTAGCTAATTTTGCTGTTTCATAGTTTTCCCCACTCCTCTTCCCCATCCCTGTTCACCCCTCACCCTCAAACCATCCTCTGTTACATACATGTTTGAGTTCAAACAGAACCTGCCGGGTCAGCTCAATGCGCTTCTTATTAACATGTTTGATGGCGACAACATTTCCCTGATGGTGGGAGTGAAAGGGGAAAGGAAATTGAATATCAGAAGTTCTGGGTGCAAGGAAATGCTACATACAGAG